AGAGACTAATTGCCCTGTGGCTTGCTCATTTTATTTATGAACTCTTATATAGAAGAGGGCTGCTAGATGATCACTCCACTGTTGTTATGACCAGTAGCTGCCATGCAGTGGTTTTATTCTCAGTTCTCCCATAGTTTCTGTATTGAGTTTGTAGTATTTCTGGTAGAGATGATTAAAATGAGTCATCTTATTAAGTCTTTCCTACGCTTTATGAATATTCATATTCTTTATGGGCTTTACTTGGGTCCCTATCAATTTAAAGCAGTTTAGAAATAAAAACTCTGATGTCTACCCCCTGCCCTTGACACTGAGTAAGTGTCTGCAGCCTTTCAGCCATGGATAGCAGGGAGCTTCACACCACCACTGAATGCATTTGCAGTGGCAATGAGACAACTTGACAGGGCTGGCAGATGGACAACTGACAAGGCTGTGCTTCTTCCCTCCCCTGTTCCCTTCTGCATTCAGTTCCCAGGTGGAGTGCACCAGTTGTCAAATAACAGGCAGGTGTGTAGGGCAGCACTGAAAAGCTTTGGCTGCTGTATTCTATTTCCTCCCATGCTTTCCCTCAGCTGCTGCCTTGCAGTGATAGGTGAGAGCATTCCCGGCTCTACTTCCCTTGTCTATTAAAGGGGTGTAGGTTGTAGCCGTGTTGGTTCTTTGGAACCTTGTCTGCCTTGCCTATTAAAGGTATTCTCTCTTTGTCCTTTTTCCTCATTCACATCTTTGCCCCCAAATTCCTTTTTTTTTTTTTTTTTAACAAATGTGTGAAATATACCTTTTGTATTTGCATGCTGGTTGCAAGGTAGCTTCTCCAGGTGCCACAGAAAATCCTAGCTTCTTAACCCTTTCAGACTACATGTCTAGAAATAAACTCTCAGTTTAAGTACTACTAAACCATTTTTTCTTCCCATTTGCCTCTTGTTGAATACCAAGGGAGTTTTATTCGGTATCTATAACTCTAAAATGTATTTGGGGGTGGGGGAGAGAATGTATGCAGAAGCTGAATGGTGAGATGCAACTAGAATGAGCTGCAACTTGGTGAGGACACGTAGTGTTCAAAAACCCCAACTCCTAACTCTCAAGTGCATGTGACACCACAACCTCATTCCCTGCCACTGTACAATACAGGATACTGAGCTAGATGGACCTGTGGCTAGAGCCTTATGTTCTTAGGCTGCAACTCCTGTGTTGCCTGGAAGCTGCCTACCTGCATTTCCTTAACGTTTTCAATTAAAATATTAAAATTATATTGAGAAGAGGGATAATCACTGCCTTGACTTATTTTAGTGTCATATTCTGACAAGCTTTCTGCCTCCTAAGCCATTTACTTCCATCCTCTACCTGTGCTGCATGTCAGTAGTCGCTGTGCTGTCGTCATAAATTTTGAGCAAAGTTTCTGATGGGTCATCCTTCAATTCCTTGGGCTCTTGTAATCTGAAAGGGGAAGACAGAAGTCAGCTGCAGTAGTTGTGGCTGAAAACAATGTGAGCAGTGATACAAGTAGCAATAAAGACCAATGTTTTATGTCTACTGAACATCCAAAGTATGGCTTGGCCACTACAAATTTTCTTGTCTCCTGTCTCCACCCTTACCTTTGCTCCCCCTCCCCCACTCCAGGATGCCTTACCTCTCCTAAAATGAGAGGGGGTATCTGGCAACCCAGCAGGGATGGTGTCCATTTGAGGGCCTATACAGTGAGACCCATGTACACAGTTCAAAGTAAGTCAAGC